ATAACCATGTTGAAGTGCAGGCTGGATGAACATAGTCCGGTAATACCAGTCTCTAAGCTACGGATCCTTAGGTCAATTTGGACATTTCCGTGAAAATGCCGCTCAACTAAATAAATAAAGCGAGATGCAAAGTGAACGCGGGGCACGTTTTCTTTTCGTGATTGATTTATTGTAATTTATTTTTTCCTTACTACCTTCAATCTTTAGTATAATATTTAGTTTGCAGTTTGAATTTCAAATTTGATTTTATATCAAGGATTGAGTGTTGGTACGTTATAATCGAGACGCCTAAAGGCTCTTAGTTCTTGGTTCTTAATTTGTGGGTGAGACAAGTCTTGTAGAATGCGCGATGAAAATATGGTATGTCGATGCAACTGTTGGCAAGCAAGGTTAACACCATCAGTGGCTTAGTTGGATTTAAGGGTCCCTTGCTTGTATGATTGCGGGTTAGCTTGTATGCGTATGAATCCTATTTCCATATGTCATCATGTGTCCTCGTACCGGAATATCAAGATTTTACAAGTTAAAATTGTATGAATGCTGAAAATATTCAATTAACGGGAAGGTCGAAAATATCACAAGGAACGGGGCATTTCCCCAAATTACAAAAAAAAAAAAACAAAACAAAACAAAGATCGACAAGGTTGATATTATAGGGTGCAATTAAAATGAGGAAAAGGAAAGGGGTGGAAGTTAGGGCGTGGTCCCTTGTCGCTGGTACATATGCACAAGGGTAGCGGGAGCTTCCATTTTCATGCCATCACCACATATTGTAGGAGTAAATATTTAAAGTCTCTTTCTGTGGTGCTATCCCTTTCTTTTCTTCCTCCTTGTGCTGTACATCACATGACTCCTTTCTCCATCTTCGTCCTCATCTTCAATTTCTGCTTCTTTGCAGGTCCTGGCCTCATCTTCAGGGCCCTTCTGATTCCCGCATTCTTGATATTTTATACTTTTTTCGAAGCAAAATGAGAGTTTACAAGATTCAAGTTTACAGAACTGAATAAAATGATAAAAATCAGAAAGTAAAACGATCCTAATCGTAGTAGTTGAAAATGTTTACAAAAGGTGGAGAACATCTTGGCCAGCATTAGTTTGCAGAGCCCCTTTGGAGCGAATGAGTTGGAGGAATTGATTCTTAATGCACAAAATAGCCAATCAATCCCCTGTTGATGCTAGTGGAAAACCATATTTATGTAACCAACAAAGTACACCACAGAGGCATTGCAGAAGAAAAAGATTATTACTTGCAACTCCTTTTTTTCCCCCCCCCCCCCATATGAATTGTTGAACTAGAAAATCATGGCCACAAATTATGAAATGACAGTAAATATGCCTAAAGCGCTCTTACTTGTGGATTAGAATGATCATTCCATCTCTATTGTAGTTGAATCGCAGAGTTGCAAGGAGCAGAGGAAATGGATGCATTGAGCTTTAATAAATCGCTGCCAGAGAAAGCCAGAGCTGAAAAGGAAACAGAATTGTGAATTTCCTGAACGACTGGATTGGGAGAATAAATTTCATCTTGCGTGCATGTGCAGCGTGAGACCATCTTTGTGAAGCTCCCTTAACCATGAACTAAAACTGGTGATATATTATATTGAGAAATTTTGATGAGACAACTACCAAACCATATTACTTGGTATAAAGGCAAAAGCTGAATAAATATTCCAGAGATTATTCTTATTGACAACAAAAAAGACAAAGACCGTTTATATTCGGATGATATTTTTATACTCCAACACATACATACAATTCTGGAATTTGGCTAGCCTAATTCTAAACTAAAATCCTAGCTCTCCCAACACTTTCATAGATCAATAACTTAAAGTAATAGTGTGTCTGGGTCCATCATTCGTTAAAAAACAAAAAACTTTCAATCTGAATTACTCTTGCAATCATGGCCTTTTGAATAAAACAAAATTGGCCCATAGTCAAAATTAGAAATGCCATTGTGGCCTGAATAAAACCAATGTACCCTCAAGCCTCGAACTGCATTATAAATTAGGCTTAATTATATAATATCCACGTATTTTGAAGAAATATTCATTAGGAGACAGTTTTCAGTATAAATAACTATAATACTACCTCCGGTCCTAATTATAAGACCCAGTTGACTAATTTGAGGAGATTAAGGAAGTAAGTTAAGTTAGTTATTTGTAACAAATAAGTGTTGTCATTCCTAAAATATCCTTGCTAATTAAGTGTTGGTTAGAACCATCATTATTAGAAAGACTATCTTGGAAAAAAATGCATAAATATGAGAGACAAAATGGATTGGGGTCTTATAATTAGGACCAAACTAAAAGTCAAACGGGGTCTTATATTAAGGACCGGAGGTAGTAACATTTTAAAAACATGAACACACATTTTTTTAATCAATAAATGATTTCAAAGTACATGCTGATGAATGGTCCATGAAGCCCCAGCCAATCTGAAACTCCATGATGTACTCTGTAACCAAATCTGTCATGATCAGGCTTTCACAACTACGGAGGATACACGGCATGAAAAATGAAATTGAAAAAATAGAACTCTCTTTAATCAATGTGCAATATAAAATATAAAATTAAAAATGATTTATGATATTCACAAACTTTTAATTATACATTTATTTTCAAATTTAATGTAATATAAACAAATGTGTCTAATTATCTCTCAATTATAGACAAATCATAATTTCAGAAACTTGATAAGGATAACAATGCCATTTTCACTCTAACTTACTTATATCATTAAAATTTTAATTTAATTTTGTGTTTGATGGAAAATTTTGAAAATTAATGTAAGTTTAAAATATACATAACCTTGAAGACTTTAACATGAGAATCTTCATATTTCATATTTTGACTAAAAATTTCCCTACGACTAAAACTGCAACTAAAATTGATAGTGTACACCACCTTACTGTTTTTTCTTAATCACTTGCCATATCACTCTAACAAATCCAATGTGGAATTTTGGGTATCTTAACAATTTGACGTGGACAAAAAAATTGAACCTCATATCTTCTTCAAAAATCAATCTGTGTTCTCTTTAATTTCCAGAGTATTAAGTGTTTGCGGATATAATTATTGAAGAATTGGTTCATCTTTAGAAATATCACTTCCAATCCTAAATAGTGAAGCTAAAGAAGAGGTTTGTTTTAATTCTAACTTCATCTTACTTCACTTTATCTCTCAAAATTATAATATATTTTTTTCTAAAATATTTTCTTTGTTTGCACATATTAAGAAAGTTTTCATTTCAAAATGGTTCTAATGCATATGATTAAAAATAGTAATTTAAAAAAACTAATACATATTTGTTATTGATAACTAATTAAGTAATTTTTTTAATATTCGCAAGTTATTTATGTGACTCTTATATTAAATATCATATATTTGTAGCCATGCCAGGTCAACTCTTGATTACTCCATCTTTAAAAATATGCGTAGAATCAAGGAAAGGGAATTGATTTGGTAGGAAAGATGAAAGATGTAAGGCAAGGTATTTTTAGGAGAGGTGACATTAGTAGCCATATGTACTTTTATGTCTAACTACCAATAAAATTTCCTCGTGAGATTTGTTATCTTGATATGGCAAAATTATCATTAAAAAATAATAAGGTAGCATAAATTTTGTTACCTTCAACTGTAACTTTAAATTTTTAAACAAAATGTAAAACAGGATTATCTTAATTTTAGATGTTGAGACGATAAGAGTGGCAATTGCTGAAAAATCAACAAACAAATAGAATGTGCTTTCATGACAAGAAAAGTAGGTTTTAGGGAGTAGTTGAGATTCCTCAAAAACATTTTAAAAAATATTTATACGTAAATCAAGACAAAACTCTTCTCATATGTTTATTTTAAACTTTTTAAAAACAATTCTAAAAAACCAATTTAAACATCGATGAATGTTTTTGTGGCAGGGTGGACATGCGGTTTGCAGTTTGCCTCATCACTTCTCCACTCCATTATTACCATTATAAACCCTAAACCCATCATAGCATTCCACGTGACCTCGTATCTTTGTGTAATCACCCATGCATAATTACCGTCATTATTTCCTTTCAACCCACTAATTGAAAAACCCTTAATAGACATTTTAAAATTCTGAAGTCCTAAAGTTTTATTATTATTCCTCTTATCTGGTTTGGTCATGCTTTACCTTTACACAAGACTAAGAACTGACAACAGAATACTGACTCGGTGTATTTGTTTAGTGTACTCCCATTTCCATAAACTCAAAGTGGCAAACAAAACACATTATTCTGAGGCATTTGGGCAAGAAAAGTGATGACACAGAGAAAATGCAAGCGTAAGGGGGGGGGGGGAATGCCATTATTAATAATAAAAAGGGCGAATTATTTAATGATAAAAAAATACAAGGGAGAACAGGGAAGGAAGCCAGAAGAGGGATGTTTGGTTGACCAATGAAAAGGTTAGAGAGACAGAGAGACAGGGAGATGGCAATCTGCACTCCAACAACATAAATAAATAAAAATCTTCGCTTACAAACGCCAAATTTTGCAGTACAATAAAGGCTCCCAAAAAACAAAACAAACACCTCTCCCTTCTTATTTATTACTATTATTAACAGCAAATAATCCAACCTCTCGCCCATATTAACACTCAACGGATTGATCATTTGATGAGTTTGGTTATTAAAACTTATAATTTTTCATCAGGCCTCATCATTTCATCAGATTTGTGCTTTAATGACTCTGGTTTATTAAATTACATATGACTATATTTATATATATATGAAATACCCCATTCGGTGAGTAAACTTGATTTTTTTATTTTAAATATTATTTTTTTAAACAAATAATATATAAATATTTTAATATCGCTAACCCTTGACGGCAGCTCCGTTTTGAATGCTCTCCCCACACCACACCCTCTGTCTTAAGCGGCGCCTCATGTTGTTCATCTGAGGTAAGCAGGATCTGTTTGGTGGGCGATGCTTCAGATGGGCACTATCGTCATTTCACATCATCTGGTTTGGGGTTTCTCCTCCCGCTTGCATAAAAGCTTTGGTCCTTTAGACCTGCCTGCGGCGTCGGTTCCACTTCTCTCGTTTTGGAGTCCGCACGCTCACATCTCCTCCTCCTCCTCACTCTCACTGCATGTCGGTTTTCCTTTTCCTTTCGTAGAGCCACTCCCTTCTTATCACTCTCACCCTCATTCATTCCTCGTCGCTTCACAGATTCCTCTCTTCACTCTTGCTCTGTTTCCTGCTCTTTCCCCCCGATCCTGATCCAATACCTCATCCCCCACCCCTTTCCGCAATCATTACTTTTCACCTGCGGTTTTCTCATCTCGGAAATGGTGGATCCGAGCGGCAAAGTGAGTGATCCTGTCCTTTTCTCGAGCGGATTTGGTCCCTTGTGTTGGATTGCAGAACAATAACAGCTGATCGAGTTGATTTTGTGTTGTGATGCAGGGATCGGAAGCCGACGGCGCTAATGCGAGGAATCCAAATGGGGCTTCGTCGGAAGAGAGCCCAGCAATGAACGAGCCTAAGAAGACGTGCGCCGATTGCGGCACCAGCAAGACACCTCTCTGGCGAGGCGGTCCGGCTGGGCCTAAGGTGAGCTCGATCTCAGCGATTAGGGTTATGTTATGGATCGATGAATGGTATTCATCTTTGATCTGTTTCTAAATGTTTCCTTTTTTCCCTGCAGTCACTGTGCAACGCTTGTGGGATCAAAAGCAGGAAGAAGAAGAGAGCGATTCTGGGTTTGAACAAGGGAAGCATCGAGGAGAAGAAAGGAAAGAGAAACAGTACTAACAACAACAATGGAAGCAGCAAGATTGGGGACAGTTTGAAGCAAAGGTTAATGGCGTTGGGAGGGGAGGTTTTGATGCAGAGGAAGAAGCTGGGGGAGGAAGAGCAAGCAGCAGTTCTATTGATGGCTCTCTCATATGGATCCGTTTATGCTTAGTTAGAACCATGAGAAATACTAGCTCTTTTCCTTCTAGGATGCACTCACTTTAACAATCCAAGTGTATCTATCAATATTCAATGTCTGCCTTCTTACTCTGTGTGATTAGCCTGGGATAGCTTCATATTTTTAGTTCACTGACTTTGTTTGGTGCCGCCTATGTATCTCACTAAGAATTGTAAGAAATGATTCAGATCCAATTTTGGTAATATAGCAGTGGCCTTTATTACATTTATCCCCATTGTTATCTTCTATCCCATGTTTCATTTGCTCCACTATGCTTAGAAAAGTTATCGTCGCTTAAAAGGACAGCAAGGGATTAACATTGAACACAAGCCAGAAGGTAGAATTAGAATCGTGGGCTGGTTTGTTGAGTTAGGTGAAACTGGAATGTGTATTCGGTTCCGAAAGGGTCATTTTTTTTGGGGTTGAATGGGTGAAAATGATAGTATCTGCAAGTAAGATGTTTGAAACTATGTGAATGAGAAATATGGAAAGATGAAATGGAAGACGGAGGGAACATGAAATTTCATATTTCCCGCTGGTTTGACTTGGAAACCTTTTCTGCATTAAAAAGTTTATGGTGGACTTTTAATTAGCATGCTAGCCGAATTAGGTTTTAGGTCAACGATGCATATCTAATGAGTTCCTGCAGGTCCTAGTTGATGAATGTTTTCCTAATATTTTTCCAAAAAAAAAAAAAAAACAAATTGTATTTTATTTTATTCATATAAATCCTAATCGAAGAACTCTTACCTCACCCGTAACATAAACTTTGAGTTCAAGCACCGTTTGATTCTTCTTTTATGTGTTATACTTGATTTTTTTCTTCATATTAGAATATAAATTAACAAATCAATTAAAGCAATAAAAGTAACATGGATCATTCAAATTTTGCTGGGAGCATATATATATATATATATATAAGTCGGTTTTAAGGATGTGTAACTTTAAACAAGAAGGGACGGGGTTGAGAAGTCATTTTCAAAATTGATCATGTTGGGGAAGACAAACAATGAATAAAGAAAACAAAGTAACTGTAAAATTCTTCTCTAACCCTTTTTGGCTTATGAATCAATGAAATCAATCCTATCTGCTGATTTGTTATCACATCCTTTGACTCTGATTTGCGGCTCATTCAAGACTTTTCCTCTCTGTCTTCTTCTTTTTACATATATTCTGTTAAAATTCTTTTTGGCAGATTTGGTTGAAAAATCACAGAACAATGATTTGAAGATGAAGTATATAAAATTGAGAAAGACAGGAACCAATCTCCAAGAAGATGCATATACAGTACTATTGTTGACGAATGGCCTTGGATTTACTTTACGGGGCCAAAAACAGTGAGGGGTCATTATTATAGTAGCAGCATTACTTTTCATGATAAACAAATTTGGATATGAGTGTTCTATAATATATCCGGCATGCTTCCGGTATCCTTAAAAACATGTGACCAAACTAATCGGGTGCATACTTATATTGTAAACTCCATATGCAAAATTACAGGACCACTACTATATATCTAAGTGATGTCATCATTTTACTAAATTGTTTTTTTTCTATTCTCTCCTATCTCAATTTTTTACATGATTGCATAAGATACAATAGGTACAGTACGCAGCAAGAGACGAAAAATTAAGTATTACCTTTAATTTTAAATATAAGAGCTTATATTTAGAACCGGAGGTAGTATGATCTTAAATTCGTGACACTGTTTGAGTAATTTTTGTCACTCATGAAGTTAAGAGTTGACACTGATATTGTCATCATTTGTTTCAAATGATCTTCATTGAGATATTTTTAATATGACATAGTAACTCATACATTTTTTGCAAGTTTTGAGAATTATGGCGTCAGATGAGATCATCTTTAGCTTCCTTTGCAATTATTACAGAACAGGCTCGAATATTTTATTTCCCTCTCAAAAGTGAGCATGGGAACCTGTCCAAACCATGGATGTCCCTTTAAACAATTTGTTGCTCAAGGGAAAATAAATCACATTCTGGAGACCCCAGAATAAATATTCACAAATATATTAGTGTCCATATGAGGAGCCTAATAATCAGTATAGTCATTGGCTTCTGTAATAGCATAATCAAAAGTAACCATTCAAACACGCATCTTCAAATAAGATTATCAAGTCATTATACACATTGATTTTACAGCATCTTTCCTCAACAGAGTTTTGCATCTTTTAATATATTTAAAAGCTAATTAAATAATAACACAAATATGGCTAATAACCCATAAGATTAATATGCATTGAATTCGCCTTTGAATTAATAGTGATGAATGATTGGGAGGCGTATTTAAGGGGAGTAGTTTAGGTGTGCAGCTTCATAATAATCTTTGCTTTGCTCACAATTAGCTGTGTTTGTCTCTTCCGTGGAGACCATTCATAATTTGCTTTCTGGCATCGTCGGCCTCTGTCCTTTCTGTATTCCAATAAATGCCAAAACAAACGCCAAAATAAAAGCAACCCCTCTTCATTTATCAAATCTTTATAATAATAAATTTATAACTCAGTATCCTGAACCTGAAGGTGAGTACCAGAAATATCAAGCTCCTCATTTCTTTGCTTCTGAGGGTTACAACAGGAAGCAATAATTGACAGCCATTAAAATGGTGATCCTAATCTGATCTGACTCAACCAACGGGTCGTCGCACGTACACTAATTTGAAACACAAATTAAACTAAGCTAGTCATGAGGCTGTGTGCTAAAGCTTGGTTTGGTGCAGAGACCTTTCAAGCAGCACATGGAGGCTCACCACTCTATCTAACTCTGCTACCCATTTTGCGTCAACATTGAGCCTCAGTAGTGTTTTTGTGTGCGTGTCTTAACTCTTTGTGATACACATATATGCATGGATGAATCTGAGAGAGAGAAATAATTCACTGCAATAAAAAAAAAAGTTATTTAAAAGCATCGACATTGGCGAGCATTGAATGGAGGTCTCTCATGGTGGCTAAGTACAAAGTAGAAAGCATTTTTAAGGAACGTGTTGAACTTGATACCAGTATGATCAGTATTATACTGACTGCCTCTTCTTTTTAATTATATCACGTACTAAGGTCTTTAAGTTATAGACAAGATCAAACCTGCAACCTCTTACTTTTACAAAGTTTTTATGCTACTAAACTATAAGGCTCTTAGTATGTCTACTTCTCTCTCTCTCTCTGTCTCGTTCCTTCCTCTCCTTTTCTTTTTCTTTCTTTTTGTGTTTGTATTTTGATTTTTGAAGGCAAAGTGCTTGTTCCATCTGGTTCTGAAACTGCGCAGCACGGAGGAGTTTCATGTGTATGCAAGTGTGAGAGATAAGTTGGCATGCACATGCTCATATAATAAGAAGACTAAATATTAAATATAAGGAAAAATTACGTATAAATATCAAATTTGAGGTGAGCAAATTAATCAGTAATAGATCCTCTGGATTTGACTTCTTATTAATAAGTCTTTTGGAAAAATTGTGCCAAAACATGCTAAATTGTAGAAAAGATTTAGGGTTAAACTGAAATTTTCTTTCAAGTTATCATATGATGTTTATGAGTAAGTATGAGTCAAATTTAAAAATTTATAACATATTCTCCAAGTGATCTACTAGTAGCAATGCATGTGCGGTTTTCAAAAGTAAAAGTAAAAGTTAGTTTGCCAAAAATAAAGCACACTTTTTAGAAACAAGAAATTTTTGCTTCTATACGAATATATGTACCTTTTAAAAGTATTTTACTTGAAAATATACGCTATAATGATCAACAAGGACTTTTCAGAAGAACTTTAGACATCTTACAAGTGATAACCAAACAAGCCCATCAAATTCAGGGACTTACATGTAAATTACAAATATATAATGGAGCATGAAAATGTTTTTTTTGGTTGCTAGAGCATAGGTATCCTCTGATTGGAGGCAATCCTATTTGAGGTACTGTCGGACACTAAATGTGGGCACCTTTCCTAGCGGAGAGTCGAATCTTGGTTCGTCATATTGTGAAGGACTAATCCTTTCTGTTAGACCTAACTTCTGCTGGTTGGAGCATGAAATTGAAGGCACCAAAAATATATTGAGAGTATGGACAGAGGAAATTTGACATGGGTTGCCAACTTTGTTGAAGTCCATTTTCATAATAACTCGCAAAACGATTTTTCTTTTCTAACCTCAAAAACTATGGGTTGAGATTGAGATGAGCCCTACAAGGCTCAAATTAAAGGCCGTGGTCTAGAATAAATTTTTTATTTTCCAGTTACTTCTTTTTTCCCCCCAACAATTTTCCAGTTACTTCTTCTTTTTTTTTTTTGGTGATAAACTGAAATTTCATTCCAAAAGAGCAGAGCTCACACAGTTGGAACAGCACCAAGGGAACGCATAAAAACACTAAACAAAATAACAGGCCAACAAAAGGCCAACAAAGAAAAGAAACAGAACAAACAAAAGATAAAAAACAAAACAAACAGATTGAAAATCATGTATCCATGTTCCCAATAGTATGAGACTCATCAGCTAGGATTTTTGCCAGAGAAGAAGGGGGTTTAGAAACCCAATTTTTCAAGCACTTCTCTCTCAGAGCTGCTCGAGCGCACCAATCAGCAGCTAAATTGCGATGTCTTGGGATCCACACAAAGATGCAAGATCTTAGAGCTTTACCAAGATTACGTGTTTCCTCCACCAGATTTAGACATCCCCATTCCGGGCATTGTTTAGCCTGATTAACAGACTAAATTAGTGAGAGACAATCAGATACACACTGAATATTATCAAAGACAATATCACAGCACCAAGAAATGTCCCAGTACAGAGCAAGAGCTTCAGCCATAAAAGGAGAGTTGGCTTCCACAAAATCTCTTGTAAGACAAAGCACTTCCCCCGTGGAGCCTCTAGCCACCAAACCTATACCTGTTGACTTTGAAGAAATATCAAATGCACTATCACAGTTTATTGTCACTCCAGACCACCCATCAATAAAGGGCATTAGAAGCCTTAATTGTACGGCTATCAAAGCTTTGCTCATTCAAGGCTACCTGGGACCACCCATTTGCATCCTAGAAAGATTCAATTAAGATAGTTGCTATCTGAATAATACTCATAGGGTCATATGATTTTTGTTCAAAAATAAAACAGCATCGTGCCTTCCAGATTTGCCAAAGCAAACAGGCAGCAAGGGCCTTAGCTTTATCTAACCATTCATCATTACTTAGTAGATTCAAGAGCCAGACATCAATGCGACTAAGATTACTT